CCTGCCAGCTCTCCCAGCTCCACTGACCCTGCCTCCTGCAAGTGTCTGAGGGCTGGGCAGGCTCCAAATGACCAAAGCCTTGCCTTACATTTAATTTTAATGATTTAATTTAATAACAGGGGAGCGGGATTGGATTGCTGGTTCTCAGGGGGCTGAATCCTTAATGAACACTGGTCGCTCAGCGCAAGCACGTGCAGGAGCTGTGTGCAGGGAGCAGAATGGAGACGCAGGCTCTGGCAGCAAGGCTGCTCCTGGGCGCTTGGCTCCGGTAGCAAGGCTTGTCCTTTAACGGTCATTATCAAAATGCCAAGTGGCTCCGAGCCCCGCGCACGGAGGAGAAGCTCAGTGCCTTGACTTTGGACTGTATGTGTGTGTTAAAGTCTCCGCTTCTGACGTCTCTGTGGCCTTGGCCGGGGTCCAGGCTGGCGACGGGTCGAAAGTGCTGCAAGTTTGTTGCGGTAAAGTCCCTTCTGGGCCAGGGAGGGGACAAACGGTGACAGGACCAGGTCATGGCTCCCTCAGGGATGAGCGAGCGCCTGCACTCCACGATAGACTCTGCTCTGTGCCGTGGTTGAGTTTGGCTGCGCAAGCGGTGTGCTGAGCGCCTCAGTGGTCTGGTGTGCGGAGGGTCGTACTGGAATTAATTGGGGATGGTCGTTATTCCCAACCGGAGGGTCCTGGCATGCACCTCTTCTCACTACTGGGATGAGAAATCTGCTCAGCAGACTGAGCCAGGGTCTCTCCTTGCCATCTCTGTGTCGGCAGGTACGTAACCGTCCTTTCTGTGCCCCCCGGCAGGTTCTGTGGCGTTCCTGGGGCTCTACCTCGTGTTCGGCTATGGCGCCTCACTGCTCTGCAACCTCATCGGCTTCGCTTACCCCGCGTATGTCTCGTAAGTACCCGCGTCTCAGCCCGGCCTCCCTGCAGCAGCTGGAGAGCATTACTGCCCTTAGCTGAGGGTCTCCCTGGGAGATGAACAGGCAGTTATGGTTGGGAAGCTCTTGAGACTTTCCTGAAAACACTGGCACCTGGCACACGGTCCCAGCTTGGGGCAGCAGCACCCGGTAGGCAGGTTTGCTCCAGGCTTTGGAGGACTTGGGAAGGAGGTGCCCAGCCCGGCAGCAGGACTGCAGCAGCAGTGCCCTTCCCCTCTCCTGTCGCAGCATCAAAGCCATCGAGAGCTCCAGCAAGGAGGACGACACCACGTGGCTGACGTACTGGGTGGTGTACGGCGTTTTCAGCGTAGCCGAGTTCTTCTCCGACACCTTCCTCTACTGGTTCCCCTTCTACTACGCTGGGAAGGTAACGGCTTTACTGGGGGCTGCTGGGGCCAGAGTTGTCTCACCCAATGGCTGAACTTGGAGGAACCAAGCATGGTGGGGCTCTGCCCCATTAGCAGGGCTGTGGTGGTGGCCATGGTGGGGCCGCAGTCCAGCGCGGAGCTCCCTGCCGTCAGCTGAGGTTCTGGTACCTCCAGCGAGCTCCAGCCTTGGGAAGCTGCCTTTGGGCCAGGCTGGGGGGGACTGGAGCAGCTCAGCTGCTGCCCCGTCACTGCCCCCCTTCTGGGGGCTGCCTCGCTCAGCCCCTGCCCAGCCCTCTTCCCGCTCTGGAGCATCTCTTCCCCCCTAGTGCCTGTTCCTGGTGTGGTGCATGGCCCCGGTGTCCTGGAACGGGTCGCAGGTTCTCTACCAGAACGTCATCCGGCCCTGCTTCCTCAGGCACCACCAGACCGTGGACAACGTGCTGGGCAACCTCAGCACCAAAGCCCTGGATGCGGCTTCCAGCATCACCCAAGAAGGTAGTCCCCGCTGTCCTGCTCCGTGTCCGGGGCAGGCTGTTTTCCCCAGAGCACGGCCTGGCTCCGCGGGGGCCTGGGCAGCTCTCATTTTAATTACCAACAAGTGGCCATCTCTCTGTGACCGTGGGCCATGCTCTCACAGCCAGAGCCCCGTCCCCTCATGGTGGCAGGAGCCAAGCGAGGGGCTTGCTCTCCCCTCTCTGTAATTCTCTCTCTTC